TCAGCGGAGGCTCAGCAGGCCTGGCGCTCACCTCCTGAAAGAGAGCAGAGGGCCCTGTGGCTGCCCGGCCCCCATGGCACCCAGGGCCACAGGCACCCAGGGCCACCACACTCTGGCCAGGTGTGCCCAGCGACACAGGCCTCTCTTCCGCTCCCCCCCGCAAGTCCAGAGGCTTCCAGGCCCCGGAGGTGCTGACCCCCCTCTGGGCAGGACCCACCTCTGCCCCATCCACCCCCAGAGCCGGCAGAAAGGCCCTCTGAAGCCAGAGGGGCTTCGCTCTACTCCTGAGGGCCCTCCAGCCCCTGAGACTGGCACTTGCCCCTTGGGATCAGCTCTGCCCTGGGGTGACCCCAACAGTAACTGCTCAGCCCCATGCAAGGCCTGGGCTCACCCCCTGCCTTCCCTGCAGGAGATCAGGGAGCTCCCCCGCCCTGACCTGGCCCCGTGCCCGCAGTTCCGGGGTGGGGTGGGGGCTCCCCAGGTCAAGCAGGAGCCTGTCCCCCAGCATGAGACGGGCAGGGCAGGTAGAAGGCTGAAGGCCTCGGGGCACCGGTGCTGGGCTCAGGGCTGGAGGTGGCCCGGTGGGGTCCCCACACCCCGGGTGGGTGTCACCTAAGGGGTGTATGTCTCAAGCACCTCCTGTTGGGAGCTGGGAGCCTGGCAGAAGCCAGAGGGGCTTCGCTCTACTCCTGAGGGCCCTCCAGCCCCTGAGACTGGCACTTGCCCCTTGGGATCAGCTCTGCCCTGGGGTGACCCCAACAGTAACTGCTCAGCCCCATGCAAGGCCTGGGCTCACCCCCTGCCTTCCCTGCAGGAGATCAGGGAGCTCCCCCGCCCTGACCTGGCCCCGTGCCCGCAGTTCCGGGGTGGGGTGGGGGCTCCCCAGGTCAAGCAGGAGCCTGTCCCCCAGCATGAGACGGGCAGGGCAGGTAGAAGGCTGAAGGCCTCGGGGCAGGTGGCAAGCATGGAGGTGGGAGGGCCCAGCACATAGTAGGTGCTCAGTAAACGTATGTTGAATTAGGTCTTCAAGTTTCTTGCTTTGCCGGAGCCCTGGGAGCATGCTCCATGCCTTGGTTTTGCACCCACCGGGAAGAACTGCCAACCTCAGCTACCCCTCTTGGTAGGGAAGGACATGGTTGAGATTCAGGGTGAAGAGCACGCCTGAGGCAGCCGGCGCCTCCGCGGGAGGGGCAGCGGGTGAGCCCTGCAGAGTGACCCACCCTCCCGTGCCCACCCTGAGCCAAGCCGCCTCTACTGCCCGGTCCTCACTCTGAAGTTAGAGTTCAAATCAGCCGAGGGAAGCTCAGGAGGAGCGCCCAGCAATCCGGGCCCCATCCCTAGGGCCGGGGAACCAGCGTGGAGGAGCAGCTGGGAGGCTCCCACGGGGGCTGGTCCAGGGGCTCTGAAGAGGGACTCCAGGGAGGGCCTGCGTCCAACTGTGCAGGGCCACCCCCGCTGCA